CCTCAGATGTGTTTATAATGGACACAATCGGTGGGGGAGAAGTAAGTCTGGGTGACCTTGCTGATCTCACCGTCACCAACGACAATGAATTGAGCTGTGATGTGAGTATTATTATTATTATTATTATATTTATGTTAATTTATTTATATGTTATTATATTTATTCATAAGGGCCAGTCCTTGGGGAGGTGTGGGTGGGATTGGGGGGCTGTCAGTTTTAAAGGCATTTTAAGTGTATTTTAAGGGCCAAGCTTTAGCACAGTAGGTTAAGCGCCAGCTGCAGTAAATCTTGCCAATTGAAAGGTTGACAGTTTGAAACCTGGGTCGGTGTGAGCTCCTGACCTTTAGCCCAGCTTCTGCCTACCTAGCAGTTTTGAAAACAGCAATGTGAGTAGATAAATAGGTACCGCTTTAAAGCAGGGAGGTGTTTAAGCTACCATAAGGAAGTGCCAGAAAAATGTTGGTGATTTGATCACACACACATATATACATATATATATATACATATATATATATACATATACATATATATATATATATATATATATATATACACACACACACACACACACACACACACATACACACACATAAATATACACACACACATATATATATATACACACACACACACCTCTATGTACAGTTGTGTGTCTTGTCAGTGTATAATGGCATTGAATGTTTGTTATATATGTGTTCTGTGATCCACACTGAGTTCCCTTCAGGGTGAGAGTGGTAGAATATAATTACTGTAATTAAATAAATTAAATTTATTGTATTTTAATTTGTTTTTACCGAACTGTTAGTATTTAGTTGTTTATATATATATATATATATGCATGCATGCATGCATGCATGCATGCATATGCTTTTTAAACTTAACCAAGTATGGGATTGTTAGCTGCCTTGAGTCCCCACAGGAAGAAAGGCAGGGTATACATACAGATAATGTTAGTAACAACAATAACAACAATGATACCCTGTTTTTTCTCTCCGCAAGGAGACTCGAAGCAGCCTTGAAAATGGTGCTTCACCTTCCGTCTCCCTCACACCACCTTTTTCGTCCCCTTTCTCCTCATCAGCTTGCAGGATAACAGCTGTAACAGGAAAACACTATTACCATAAGAAAAATAGTTCTTAATTTGGGGTTCATGGGCTCTTCCCAAGATAGATTTCAGGGGGTCCATGAACTTGGATGGGAGAAAAAGACACATCACACAGCACTTCACGTTCTACTCACTAGTGAGCTGGTGCTCAACTTGTGCATCCTGTTTGTTTTTGGATGCTCTGCTTTATTTTACAGTAGTTTTTCCTAACAATAATAATAAATATAAGCTTTTTTTAGTCTCTTTTTGAGGAGAGAAAAAGCAAGGTAATAATAATAATTAAAAATATATGCTGCTCTGAGTCTTTTTTGGAGAGAAAAAAGCAGAATAATAATAATAATCTATATAAATAAAAATGTAATGTGACCAGGGGAGCATTTCGGCGGTGACCAGGGGAGCATTTGCACAGCTTCGGCTCGTGCGCCAGCTGCGCCCGTATCTTGGGAAGTCTGACTTGGCCACGGTGGTACACGCTTTGGTCACATCCCGCCTTGACTACTGCAACGCTCTCTACGTGGGGCTGCCCTTGAAGACGGCCCGGAAGCTTCAGCTAGTCCAGCGCGCGGCAGCCATGTTACTAACAGGAGCGGGACGCAGGGAGCACACAACGCCCTTGCTGTTCCAGCTCCACTGGCTGCCGATTTGCTACCGGGCCCAATTTAAGGTGCTGGTGTTAGCCTACAAAGCCCTAAACGGTTCCGGCCCAAAATACCTTGAGAACCGCATCTCGGCCTACGAGCCCACGAGGACCTTGAGATCATCTGGGGAGGCCCTTCTCTCGGTCCCGCCTGCCTCACAGGCGCGCCTGGCGGGGACGAGAGAGCGGGCCTTCTCGGTGGTGGCCCCCCGGCTGTGGAACTCCCTCCCTGCTGAAATAAGACAGGCGCCTTCCCTCATGGCCTTCCGCAAGGGCCTGAAAACCTGGCTCTTCGAAAAGGCCTTCAATTAAGTGCTATGTTTTTGGAATGACCACCGGAATGGACCATGACTATGAGACTGGTTATGACCCCAAACAAGACGAAGCGGATTTTTAGTTTAATTAGTTGTGTACTCGTGAGATGTTGTGTTATGGTCTCGATTTATTGTAAACTGTTGTCTTTCTATGTTCTATGTTTTGTACACCGCCACGAGTCGCCCCCGGGCTGAGAGTGGCGGTTAACAAGTGCAAATAATAAATAAATAAATAAATAAATAATAATGTTCGTTTGTGGGATTAACATAACTAAAAAACTACTGAACGAATTGACACCAAATTTGGACACAAGACAGCGATTGGGCCAACAAGTGACCATCACTCATAGAAACACTGAAAAACACAGTGGAAGGAACTTAAAAAGCCAAAATCATAGAATCATAGAATCAAAGAGTTGGAAGAGACCTCATGGGCCATCCAGTCCAACCCCATTCTGCCAAGAAACAGGAATATTGCATTCAAATCACCCCTGACAGATGGCCATCCAGCCTCTGTTTAAAAGCTTCCAAAGAAGGAGCCTCCACCACACTCCGGGGCAGAGAGTTCCACTGCTGAACGGCTCTCACAGCTAGGAAGTTCTTCCTCATGTTCAGATGGAATCTCCTCTCCTGTAGTTTGAAGCCATTGTTCCGCGTCCTAGTCTCCAGGGAAACAGAAAACAAGCTTGCTCCCTCCTCCCTGTGGCTTCCTCTCACATATTTATACATGGCTATCATATCCCCTCTCAGCCTTCTCTTCTTCAGGATAAACATGCCCAGCTCCTTAAGCCGCTCCTCATAGGGCTTGTTCTACAGACAGAAAATACATTACAGTGCACATGCAAAACCATATATATACATGCAAACACACATATACACAAATATATACACACATATAAACACACACAAAACACATATACACAGACTGGGACACAGCAACACTAGTAGTAGTAGTAGTCGTAATAATAATAATAATAATAATAATAATAATAATAATAATAATAATAATAATAATCTGCTTTGAGTCTCTTTTTTAGGAGAGAAAAAGCAGTGTATTATTATTATTGTTATTATTAGTGGTGGTAGTAGTAGTAGTAGTGGTGGTGGTGGTGGTGGTGTAAGGACACATGGATAAGTGATTCTTCCTCCTGCAGCTTTCAGACAGTAAAGATGCGTTTAAAAAGACCTGGAACCCCAAGTTTACCCTGCGGAGCCACTACGACGGCATCCGGGCCTTGGTTTTCCACCACGTGGAGTCGGCCCTGGTCACGGCGTCCGAGGACGGCACTCTCAAGCTGTGGAACCTCCAGAAGACGGTGGCAGCCAAAAAGTGAGCGCTTCAGCCTATTTGTCAGCCAGCGCAGCCGGACGGCACCCAAATAGGTCAGGCCTTGGAGGCAGGAAAGCCAAAGAGCCCTTCGTGCTTGAAAGAGCACAGCGGCTTAGCCAGCAACCAATTATTATTTATCTGTGGGCTGTCTATCAAAGCTGAACTGCTGCTGCAAACCAGATCTCTCTGAGGAGGAAGGGGAAAATAGTCCAACACAGAGATTTTCTTTTCAGTGTGCAGAAGCAACCTGACTTTTTTTAAAATCTTCTCTTGTTTGTTATTACAGGAACGCGGCTTTGGATGTAGAACCAGTCTATGCATTCAGGGCACACAGGTGTGTATATCTCTCTGTGTGTCTGGGGTCTGCAAGGCTTATGGATATGATGTCTGACTTTAAAAAGGTCCTTTAATCTTTCCCAAACTTCAGCCACAATACTATTGGGTTGCAATTCCCATTATCTCCAGTCTGCATATCGGATAATGAAAAGCGATGTGAGTTATCATTTAATAACACCTGGGGATAAAAAAAATCGAAGATCCCTGACCACTATGTAAATCTATGTGCATAATAAAAGTGAAGATAGGTATGTGGGGAAGGTGTTTACTTAAAAAAAAAGTTTGTTGCTGTGGACAAATTTTACTTACATTAAGAAGCTCTGGATTAAGAAACTTGTAAAAAGGTTCACAAACTGTGTATTGTTACATTTTGCTGTAAGAATTTGTTGTTTATACCACATAAGAAAAATAATTTTTGGTTTAGAGAATTGTATATCCACAATCTGATATGCAGGATGTATTTACATTCACTGGACCAAATTTGGCACAAATACCCAATACACCTAAATTTGAATACCGGTGGGGTTGGCGGGGATTGATTTTGTCATTTGGGAGTTGTAGTTGCTGGGATTTATAGTTAACATACAATCAAAGAGCATTCTGAACTCCACCAGTAATGGAACTGAACCAAATTTGGCACGCAGAACTCCCATGACCAACAGAAAATACTGGAAGGGTTTGGTGGACATTGACCTTGAGTTTGGGAATTGTAGTTCACCTACATCCAGATAGCCCCTTCCCTCCTGACCTTCAGAAAGTTGGTGAAAACCTGGCTCTGGAACCTGGCATTTGATGAGTGAGTCAATAACCCTTGACCATACGGACGGATGGTGATGAATTGTGATTTTATTCTGACGACTTGGCCTTATGTAATTATATGTTTGTATTTTAATGTGTTTTATATAGAGTTTTATAGGATGTGATGTTTTAACTATTGTGTATGAACTCCTCTGTTGTAAACTGGTGAGAAGACAGGTATATAAAAGTTCCAAATAAATAAATAAATAATTCCCCTAGGAAGGGGTGGAGTCAAACAATTGAGCTGGGGGAGCAAGCCAATTGATGTAAAACAACATTGATTGGCAGCTGTGGATAACCAATGAATTCAACTATACATTTATTTATTATTTTATTTATTTATTGAGAACTTTTATATACCAGTCTTCTCACCTCCGCAGACGGACTCAGGCCGGTTCACAACAACATCACAGACAATCATTTAAAAACATCATATCCCATAAAACACTAAAACATTAAAGTACTAAAATACTAAAATTTACAAGGTAGACAGGCAAGTCTGGACATGTTACAACAATTCAAACCTTTTCAACTTTTACGTACAGGTGGCGCCAGTTGCACCGTCACATATACCATATATACTCTAGTATAAACCGAGCCGAATATAAGCCGAGGCACCTAATTTTACCACAAAAAGCTGGAAAACTTATGGACTTGAGTATAAGCCAAGGGTGGGAAAATGCAGCAGCTACTAGTAAATCTATATAAATAAAAATGTAATGTTCGTTTGTGGGATTAACAGAACTCAAAAACCACTGGACGA